TTAAATGATATATAATTCTGAAAATTTAGATGGGCAAATGTCATCTATTGCACATTTTGCTAGTAATAACAGGAAATTCTGAAAAGTCATCCTGTTGCTACCATAAGTTAATAGATGTTACTTGGAAGGCAGCAGGGGTAAGAAAATAGAGTTTAGTAAAAGCAAACTGACCTTTTGTGAAAAGGGTCCCTCACTTGATGTAATGTTCTCTATTGTAGATGAGTATCTCACTTATACACATTGTGTCCTTAAATGAGAGTATCATGAACTTCATTCCAGAGCTGTTAACTCCAGTGGGCTTCCTAGAGCTTGGCTACTGCTCGCTTGCCTTAATTTATTGAATACAACTCAAGCTAAGAAGGAAAAATGCATTTTACTCTAGACCTTTTCCAAAAGTCTTGAATATGAATGGTGGCCCCTCCCCTTGTGATCTGTTTTGCTTGCACAGAATGTGTACCACAACTGTCCTCTCCCATCTTCATGTGCGTGCTCAATGGCCAATAACTTGTAATAGCCATTGTGTTCCGCAGTGTGGTGCCTGTGACTGTGATGTGACCTATTAATATGTTGCATTTGTTGACAGGCACAAAGCCAAGATGTCAACATGTTTGTAAAGATATCTTGGAAAGATGACTTAAACCTATAGCGTAGTGCGATACTGGTGAACGCAAAGCGGTGCTGAGAAAAACATTGCTTGGCCAGGTTTATTTTGAAAGCTCAGAACTGTGTACTTAAGCAAGTATGCTTGTGTGATGTTTCAGCTGCTTTTCATTTACCAGAGCACAATGATTTTTTTTTTTCTGGTCAGGCATGACATAAGCAAACATTTTGAAATAAAATATATAAGTCCCCAAGCAGTTATTATTTTCTGAAGTATCTGGATTGTGATTTCATTTTTCATTAATCGTTGTTTTAGACTTTGCTTCCTGTAGACTTCATTTTTATGAGGACACATTAGGCTTTTGATTGTGCTTCAGGGAAGAAAACAAGGACTCTTTGAAGGTAGAGTACTGGGCCAAAGACTGCTTTCTCTTTAGTTTTTATTATTATTTGGTAGCACTGTAGTCTCATAACATTAGCAGGCAGTGGCCATTGCCTGAGAGTCTGTGGTAATGTTTTGGCCCTGGCCTCGTTCTCCTTGTTAACCCCCAACCACTCCTGCTTTCTGCTGCTGTGCATGTGTTGCCTTGTGTAGTCATCCACCTGTGGTGGCTTTGGTCTGAAGCCATTGCACTGAGTCTACTTCCCATCGAGGACATTCTTTTGATTTAATTGGGAATTAATTGTGTGACAGATGCACGTAAGTAGGGATCACAAGAGGTGTTGCCAGTGTGCATATGTATGAGAGCACTGAGTGAACATATTCAACTATACACTCTTGCTTGGGTCCTGCTATCACTAGGTCACTGGAGAAGTCTTTGCAGAAGATAAAATCAAAGGTGTTCTCTATTCAAATTTCAGAGCACTTGGATGATAAAAGCAAAATACCTTGTTGAGTCTTTCAGCCATTTTTCAATATCTGTTTTCAAAGAATAGGTGAGGAAAATAATGAACTGTGAAATGTAGTTTAAGACTTAATTTAAATGATGTTTCCTCATGAATACTACTGCATTAGGAACTAGGCTTTCCCCGCAGGTCTACAGGAGCTCTTTGAGTGTACTCTATCCAAAACTGCTTTCCTATTCTGTTTCGCTGGAGACTTAGCTTGATACCTTCTCACTGAAAGGTCCCCTTTGTTTGTGCAACTCGCTTGACCTTTCTGATGGGATCAATTGCAAACTCTAACCATCAAAGTCAGTACTGCTGTATTCTGTCCTCCTCAGTGATGTTGCTCATCTAGTTCTATGGACAGCTGATAAAGCTCACTATTCTGCAAAAAAAGCCCAAAACAGCAAAAAATGAAGTTAATTCTTATAGTAGGTTGGCCTTCTGTCAATATCCCAAGTTGGACTGGCTCAGCTGGGGCCAAGTATCAGACTGACTGTGCTGATCTAAAGGGGGCAGAGGGAGAGTTTGTGCCTACCAGGATGGCAAAATTGAAGTAGCTCCTCTTAACATTGGCTTAAACTTGTTGCAATTCCTTTGTGCCCCTTTGGGTAAATAATCATCCATAAGGTACAGCCATCACTTCACTTGGCAGTCTTCAGCTCCCACACTGTCTGCAGATAGTGCTTCTTCTAGGATTATGTAAAGTTTTATGAAGACAACCATGCATTCACAGCCACTGGCATTTCTAGGTGTGCCTCCAAATGTCATGGGTTTGGGTTTGGTGTGTTATGCTCATTGAACTGAAAATACACTCCATTAGAGCAGCTGATTAGCTGACCAGTCTGTTCATCAGCCAGAAGATCTCTGTAGCAGTGCTCTGTAAAAAAAAAAAAAAACAAACAACAGATACATGTCTGAATGAACAGGTTATTCTCATACATGTATATCTTTACTATGTGTTGCTTACACACACTACTTTCAGAAGGGCTTAGTTTTTCATAGATTTGAAGCAATATTGCATTTCATATGGTAGTTCTAGCTTTTAATGCATTCTCAGTTCAGAAACTGTTGAAATATAGTGTTGAGGTGCTGAATTGACACTGCTCACAACTGCTGTTACATATAAAAAGATGTTCTTTAAAAGAAAAAAACACACACACATACAAAAAAAGCCTTCCAGTTTGTTTATATCTTGACTTAACACTTTTTACATAATTTTAGAGAATTTTAATGTTGGTAAAATATTTCCCTGGCACCTCTCAATGGGGAAGAAAAGATATTTTACAGTCATTATAATATTGGATTTGAGCTCTGAATTGAACTCATCCTTATTTTAAGTGATACATTAAATCTCAGTGTAACTTTGGTGCAGAGTGGTGGCAGGCTATAGAGCTAGTCTTTGAAATGTGTTTAGAGAGATACGGATTTAGCTGTAGAATTAAGATTGTTAAAGCCTATGTAAAATAACTTCCTTTGGGTGTTAAAACTCATAAAGGTTTAAAAAGATAGAAGGTAAAAAAACCGGAAGATAAAAGCAGTGCAACTTTGTGATTATAGATAAAGATTGGTCTGTTTTCTCTGTACATGTCTTTTCTTCCTCAACAATTGTTGAGTGCAATTAGAGAAAGAGAGAGAAAATGGAACAATTAACACACCATATGCACAAAACAAAAAAAAACACCTCCAGTTTGTAGGTGTTATACTGAGCAAGAATTTGGTTTTGTCCCATCTATCTTTTTTTATGTAGATAGCATTTACTCATTTGTATTTCGTTTTGAAAGACTTGTACCCACTAATAGATACTTGCTGTTGTTGTTGTATATTCTTTTAAGCTAAATATATATGTTTGTCGCTGTATCTCTTGGAAACCTGTCCTTTCTTTCAGAAAATATGTTTTGCACAGTTTAACCCTTCATATACATATGGGATGATTTGAAATCTCTCCATTATCAAGTGACAGAATTACGCTATATATTAATGATTTGAGGTTGTTTCTTTTCCAGAAGAAATAATCAGCTTCCCCTTCATGTCTAGCTAGGACAACAGCTGCAGATGAGATTGAGCTTCCATACTTAATACATTCTATTAACTTCACACATCCAAGCACACACTCTCTGGCTCCCTCACACACCCCAGTGTCACATTATAGGTGACCAGGCCCTAATTAAAAGCACACACCATCTGCCGGAGTGCGGCGGCAGAGTGGCACTCCACAGCCATCCTGATTCCTGTGATTGAAATGTATTATTTATGAGCTCAAAGACAAAATACACTGCTTGGCTGGTGAAAGCTGCAATTAGGAGCTGGATAGCACCATCTAATGGAATGGAGTGCCACTGGCTATTCATCTGCCCTCTTCTTGCTCTCTCCTCAGTCTCCTCCCCCAATAATTCTATTTTTCAGTCTTGTTCTTGGATTTTCTATGATAGTGTTTCAGACAATCTTGTCTCTCGTGTTCCATTTCTATACAAGATTGGAAAAGGTTGTTGAAAGATTAAACTAATTGTGGGGGCTTTTTGCAGCCTTTTGTTTCCTTCTAGTGCCACACAGGGTTTTGCTTTCTGCAGCAAAAGTGATACTAATGTGATGTGGTGGTACAAAATTGGAACACGAGGAAGATAGATGAGCAAGATCAGTTTACGGCTTTTCTCCAGCCCCTCCCAAGGAGCCATTTTATGGAAGTATCCATTGCTCCATCTGAAAGTTTTATTTTCAGACGGAAATTGGCCGTATTTGGGGAGGGAGGGAAGGGAGGATGACAGTACACTACAGACTATGTGAAAGTTCTTTACTGTGTTGGAAAGAAAAGGCAGGATTTGGGGAAACTTGTAGCTTTGGACCTTCCTCTCTGGAAGCAGAGATCATAACTCTTCCAGCTTGCAGAAATCATGTCCTGTTATTGCTTCTTAGTGGCGAAATGGATGAGGAAGTGTTGGACTGAGGGGTGAAATACACCTTGACAGGAGAGGAAAAAGATGACAGGGAAGGAGCCCTTTTTGTGTTAACTGGTCCATCAATCTACCTTTGCTGACTGCTAGATTACAACATTGCATCTCGTAGAAATGTATATTTTATTTAGTGTCTGGCTCAATGACCTTTAGAATATGCAGGTTAAGAATAATCACACTGTTTCAAAGTAATCTGGGGAATGATTTTCTGGTCCTTAGCCTTTTTCTAATGTTCTTGAGTTTTGCAGTGTTCCATGCTGGGCATCCAACAGTATGGCTTCAGCACAAACAAACAGTTAGGACTGAACTGATACTTGAAATATGACATTTTTTCACAATAACCTCCAATAGAACTACTTTTTTTAAAATTACAGGATCTGATTACTGCTTCTACTCGGGCAAGACAATACCCTGAATAAAAAGATATATGTCTAAAACTGAGCAAAAATATACATATGGGGGGTGTGCGTTTTATTTTTTATATCAACGTGTTTTAAAGAATGTTGAAATGACATAAATCATGGCACATCTATGAATACATATCCTCTTACTGTTTGTGTTTAGAACATACGCCATCAGAAGGATAAGAGATGCCTTTAGAGAAAACAAGAACATAGCAGATTCTGAAAAAATAGAAGAACTACTGAATAAAGCCAAAGCAAACCTAGAAGTTATTCAACGGCAGGTATGTTTATTTCTCTCATTTTATAGGAGTTGTCCACTACTCATTTAACTGTCTTATGCCACTAGAGATGGAAAAAATAGATCATTGCTCAAACCATCTCTAGATGAACATCAGTTTTTGTCTGAATTTGTTTGTCCTTCCATCATAGGTTCAGAAGGGCGACTTTGACACTCACTTCAAATAGTCTCACTTTCTTCTGTGTTCATTTTTTCCCATCTCCAGATACAGTGTTAGAGTAGTAACAGAACTAGAAAATCCTGAAGTGAATTAAGTAAATGTCGGCTAAATATGTCCAAACAGGCTGATAGGTTTTTCTTTGGAAATGTGAGTCACAGGCAGTATTTTTCTTCAACCTTGTCTGAGTAGCATTTACAGCATCTCCGTTCCTTTCACTAAGTACCATGTTACTAAGAAATTAAAGACTTGGTTGAACTTTAGATACTTTTTAACTTCTCATTCATAGCTGCTATCTATCAAAAGTGACCACTAAAAATTGGAAGTAAGCAAGTTTCTGTGCCTGAACTCTCTATGGGCACTTGCAATGCTTAAGCTGCTTCTCCTTGCAAAATCCGTGCTTGCTGACACCAGTCAGAGCTCAGCAGTACTTTCATTAAACACTGAATGAATATGTGCACCTGCTTCTCCATGTTTGTTTGTTTGTTTTTTTTTAATATATCTCTTTAAACAAAACCAGCATGTCAGTTAGATGGGTTCTTATTTTAGAATGGAGCTGGGCCCTTTAATTTGACAATTAAGTATGGATACTTAGGTACAAGTTATTTTTTTTTTATTTTCTTCTGCCAGGAACAGGTGTTGTTTAGTGCTACCATAGTTTTGCTATTTTTTTTTAACCCAAACACCGCTATTTTTTTTATTTAACTGTTTCTCAAAGAAGCAGTTTGGATTGGATTGTTCCAATGCAATTACATTTGAATGTTGGGGTGTTTTTTCTCAGATCTGTAGGTGATAATTGGCATTTTCAGCTCTTCTAATTCTTGCTTAAGATAAAGTCTTGCTAAATAAAAACTTTCAAACTTTTTTTCTCAGCAAAACATGATTCTACTGATCTGAGTCCTTATAGTTCTGGGACAGATTTTAAAATAAAACTCTTCTGTCCTCTCTAAGTCCTGTGTAAACCTATATGACTTTGTTTCTGTAGACACTAAAAAAAGATACTGTTTCTCTAAAACAGACTCTTGACAGGCTGGACTTTTGTCTAGTGTAGGGGTCTTGCCTTGCACATTTTTTGAAGTTTTCTTTTAGCCGAAAAATTGTCCCTCAGCATCAGTCAGCATCTTTCTGTTATGCATTTGTTACTGTGTCACTGGGACATACCAGAGTAATTCAGAATGGCCTCAGGTATTGCTAAGCCTGCAGGGTTTTGCATGTGTGTTTCAAACAGCAACTGTTTAAGAGGCTTCTCCAACATGAAAAATCTAATTGCTGAAGTTGGTTTTAAACTGGATCACTATCATTACATGTAAGAATTTCAGGGAAAATACACGTGAAAAGCAAGGAATATTAAAGATACTGATGCAACTTCCCATTTTTAAGACTGTTAAGACAGTGACACTTACACTGAAATATCTCTTTAATGTTGCACTTCTAGACATTTTCCAGACAAAGTACAATCACGATGCATTCACTTTTGGAAGGGTTTATCTTACATGTTTTCAAGTGTAATGGATAATAAATGTTATTATACAGTAACATAATAGGCAATGGAACTTTTTAACAAAAATTAATCAGAAGAAAATTATTTTATCAGGATAATTTTTTGATGTGCATTCCTGCAAGAGTTGATTGTTTGGGTAATAAAGACTTTTTTCCCTGAAAAACTGCAAACTGTTTTGCTTTGCAGAATTTCTGTTATGTTTCAGTGTCATCTGATTCCCATCTGTAAAGCAAGAGATAAATCTTGTAAAAATAGCAGTACTGTCTTAAAAGCTTTTCATCAGGACTATTAAAAATCCGAGCATCTATGTTCATATTAATATTTACTTGCCGTCAAATTTCATCATGCTCTGTAGAAAAAGTTCATTCTGCCTCTCTGTTTAATCTAAGTAATGAAGTCATCTGACATTATTAAGACTTTAAAACTAACCAAGCATATTATAAAGTGCTTTTATTTTTAAATGCAGAAGCACTGAAACAAACATGAGATCTAGCATTTAGTTTTTTGCTAAGTTTGGGGGTTTATTATGATGTGGTTCATCTTGGTATTGCTGACTTTTTTCCAGTGTGTCAGTAGAAATTAAATAATATCCCTCTTTGCTGACAATTTGTTGTTACTTTAAAATCAAATTTATATTCACTTTACATTCTAATTTATGGTTTAGTCATCAAAGTGATCACTGAAGTGTAAGGTTCATAAATAACTATTTGAATCAGCCTAGTGTGAAATGTGAAGTAGTGACAGATTACTGTCATTTTGTTCATGTCAGTCACTGTACAATTTGCTTGAGTGTTATAAAAGTAGCTTTATAATGCTGAAAAGCATGGACCAACATGAATCTGCAGCTTAGTCCTCCTCTGGTTATTATTCGTTTCAATTTTATAATAGCCCAGCTAAAGGAAGGAATAACTCATTTTCAAAAGTGTTGGCAAAGATTTGTGTGTGTGTATTTACTGTGTAAACAACAAAATTTTGTGATGTCCTTCCCGTAGAGAAAGGTGTTATGAGAAATGCATTGTCACAAATAAGTGTGAAATAGAAAGTTTTAAAAAGTTTTGAGGTGAAGTCTTGTTGTTGTTTGAGGATTGTTTTAACAGCCGTTCCCCAGCTAGCTAATATGATTTCATTTGTGAGTTTCTATAACTATTAGTAATGTTAATATGTTAGTGGTAGGAGAATTTGCACTGAAATGTACTGCTGCTGCTGAAAATTCAAGATTTATAAAAGCCACTTTGAAGATTGGCTAATATTGAGTGTTTTGAAGTTTTCTTTATGCTATTCTGTCTCTCGAGTTTTGAACTGAAAACATAACAGTGAAGTTCAAAAGCTATAGTAGACATGTGTGCTCTGATTAAAGCCTTGGTTTTGTTTATAGGATGTGTCATTCTTCCATATTTCTTTGTAGTGCTTTCTCCTCTGTTTCCTCAGTTTTATATTGTAGCTAGAAACTGCCAGTCATCTTGTTGTCCAGCTAAGAAGGACTGTTTATTTTTCATGGCAGCTCTGAGCCTTTATTAACAATTTTACTGGTTTTAACATCACACAACTACAGTACTCTTCAATAAAAGGATTTTAATATTTCACGGCTTTTATTTGTCTCTTTAAATAATCCAAACTGATGAGAATCCGGTTTGCACAAACCTTAATCAGGGAGACAAGAGATGTACCATTGAATGCTCAGACAGTTGGGACTTGTGTATCTGCCTCCTTACAGCTGGCTGGTCATCTTTGTTTTTTAAGGGAACAGATAAACTTTTCTTTTGAGTCTGAGTTGTTTTTCCTCAGGCTTGACCTCTCTTACTGTACCCTTCAGATGTGTCAAATGAAGGAATGTGGTGTTGAAGCATGAAGCCTCAGTTAGAAAGGTTCCACTGATAATGATAAATACTGAGTACTTGCAGCATTTTTCATGTTTGGAGTATGTTGTAAAGTACATTTTAATCCTTGAAATATCCATTGCTTGTAGCAACTTTAGCTCCGTTTCTCTTAATGAAATGCTTCATGACTATGCCTTGATAAAAGCCCATGTCATACTTAGTGTGAGATTTTGGTCTCATATTCTTATGTTTCTCCAAAGTCAAAATTATTAGCGTGGCCTTGTACTGAAACTTGTGTAAAATAAGAGCAATTCTGCTGGATCTTTTATTTTTCAGCAAGCTAAGTTGCCAGTGCAGCTGTATGTAGCCAAGTACTGTCCCTTCTTGAGGTGGTCATTAGCAGTATCTTATCTTGGCAATATTGTGAATTTGAGTAACGTTTGAATGGAGGTGGAAATTAAACTGAATCAGTGTACTAATACAGCACTCATGAATTGATAACAATATAGCCATGAGGAAACTTTCTGTTAATCAAAATAATATAAATATTAAAGCATGTTTAATAAATATTACCAAGACAAGCAACTTCAATTATAGTTGCTATAAAAAATGAAAGGTAGAAGTACTACCCCAGTTTACTAGACCTGGTTTGAACTGACTGCTCATCCTTTGAGCAGCAAATAGTCCTATATTAGTGATTGTTAAGGTGTATGTACTTCTGACTGAAAGCATTTTGTTGAGTATTTGGAGGACTGGTACCAATTAACACAGTTGTGAGTTTGTGAAATTGGAATTGACTCTCTGAAGGAACTTAACAAACTTTAAGAAACATTCTGGGTATCTGAGCAAGTTATGTTTATACTGAAGAGCACTGTGGGCTGGCCTTTGCAGGAGAAGATTAATTTTGAAAACTCTTGTTAGTATTAGCTTTGGGCTACAGGTCGTATTTATGTCTAATTTTTAATGAATATATAAGAAAGTTGCAAAATACTGTGTAATATATTTCATTATGTTGGCAGCAGTTCTGAGGCCACGGGGAAAGAATAACTGGAAAAGCTCTTTGGCCACAAGGGGCAGCACCACACTACTGTTCAGGAATGTGTATGGTATTGGCAGGTCATGTCTTCCTACGGGCTGACAATTCTGTTGGAGGTCTAATATGGATTATTCTTATCAAGCTTGCCACTGCAAGGAAGTTTTAAAATCACAGATTATTTTACTACTTTTCTTAAGAAGATCTTTGAATTTTATCTCTTTTTTTCCCAGCTTCACAATGGCAAATACCCATTTCTCTACAAAAATGCATTTTTTTCTACCACAAAATTGTAGACTTACAGTTCTTAGATAAGAGGATTGCCCTTGGAAGTTTGCTGGGGCTTTCACTTGTGCCATGTATTTTTATTTATTACAGTTGGACATCATTTTCCATCCAGGATAGAGCTGACATTACACCCAGAGAATTTTTCTTATCTCTCCAGCCATTTACCTATACTTAAACAAGTGTAGACACAGTAAAGTTTTCAAATGCTTCATTCACAGTAGAAGAGCGAGTGGCATAATCAAACAGTGGACAAATATCCTGGTAAACAGCTTTATCAACAGCTACACTGTATCCATGAACTACCTATACACTTCTAAATCCTTGGATTGGCAGCTAGAATGCATTTCTCTTGCTCCTAGCATGTTGCAGTCCTGGTAGTCAGTTTTTAATTGCTTTACCACATCATGAGTTCTCACTTGTTTGGTTCCTTACCTGCAATTACAAAAATTATGCTGGAAGCTTGTGGCAAAGCCACAAACTGAATTCAAATCAGCTGACTTGGCGTTTAGAAGCCACTGGGGGTATTTTCCTGTATTTGGTGGTGGTTTTAATTTTAATTTTTTTTTCATTTCAAAGCTCTTTGGGGTGATATTTTTAGGTATTTTCTTTTCCTTGAGGTAGTTTAAATCGTTTTGTTATGTTCATGTTGCATTTACTTTACATGTGGTTTGAAAACTTAAAATACTTAATAACAGTAACCTACTAGGAAGAATATGATTAAGAAAGCAACAGAAATCCTTAACATATATTAAAATTCAGAGCTCTTGACTTAGACACAGATGCAGATGAAGAAATGTAAAACATAGGATGGATAATACCTGTCCTTCAGTAAACAAAAGAAAGCTTCAAATTGCATCTGGGAAACTAAATTCAGAGCTATACTGGTTTTGTATTTCAGTAGGAGAGTAAATACATTTTATGTGCAGTAAACATCCATAAGGTTTTGGGGGTTGAAAAGGGGGATAAACGAAGAGAAAGGTGTCATAGGAGTGACTTTGAAAAAGGTTTGGTAAACTTAAACAGAAACCCAGCTGAATCAGAGCTTGTCCTTTCACAGAACTTGTTAGCAATGAGGTCTGTTTTGGCCAGCTTTTCCAAATACCTTTCATCTTGGCATGTAGGCTAGCTTTGGAGATGTGCAACCTTGGAACAGATGCCAAAAGCCCAGAGCTGTCTTATCAGATTAATTTCTGGCATCTGAGGGCGCAGGAAGTGTAATAGACATTTTACTCGTCTTCAGGTGGCATGGCTCTCCAGGTTACACCTGTGTGAGTCTCCAGAGCAGTGTTACTCCTTAGGCTTTCATTTAACTCTCCTGATGGAGAACAAGATTGTGTTTTCACAAGTGATTTGCTGCTGTTCATTCTGCTGACTAAATTACAAGTGGCAGGTTCTGTCTGCAGTATTAAATTCCAAAGTAGATTGTGCATTGAAAATAACCTTTAGGCTGCCAGCAGCAGAGGCAATTCAGAGGTAGAATGAGGCTTTGTCTTTCTGATGTAAGAGCTTAGGGTAAAACACAGCATTTGATGTATGCAGTAACCTTTCCTAAAAATAAAGACTGCTGAGTGTTAGCAAATGCATTTAAAATACTGTAATTATCTGTCATAAACAACTGTCATTATTTTTGTTGCATGTATTTAATGGCTAATCCAGTGAGGTTGGGGCCTTATCATAAATAGTAACAGTAGTTATGTAATACACCCAGAGCTGTGAGTTCCTGATGTTCTGCACAGATGAGGGCTGTCTGAAGGACAGGAGAAGGACTTACTTTCTAGCGAGCAACTCAGCGTGGCAGTATGTCACATCCAATAAAGCAAATGCTGAGTGTAAACTTCCATGTGGAAAAGAGTAAGTTTTATCAATCTGGCTGGTCAGTAGCTCCTTGAAATGGTTAGGAGTATTAACCATTCTGTACTGAAGAAAGCTCCAGAAGCAAGGAAAGATCACATTTGCAGGCAGATATGTTCCTCCACCATTTGTGTTTTCTGCTTTGCTGTGTTTGGTGTCCCAAGGGTTTCAGCCCAGGCTGTAAATGAATATTGCTTTTAGGGGTGGCTGTTGCAACAAAACTTCAAGGAGGCTTTTCCAAATGAGGTAACAGCAAGTGTGTGTCTTAGTACAAATAAAAAATACTGTCAAGAGAAGGAAAGCAGAAATAGGTGCTTTAGTTTTGATCACAGAGCAAATTACTTCTGCTGTGTTTCTAATCTGACTGTGTGATCTTGCTTTGATGCCTGTCAGTCTGGTTTGCAGTGCTGCCCATTGAGGGAGGGTTTGAAGATTGAGTTTCTCACATTAAAGTGTATTAACCTTTAAGCAACTTCTTGTCTTTCTTGCTGTGTGATGTCTGCTGCAGAGCAGAACATTTGTGGAAGTTCTCTTTTTTTACTGAATAGGAAAAGGAGAAGTATGGCAATTTTGAGTGTTATTTATGAAACTTATAACCTTGTAAAAGCGTTGTGTATGTATTGTGACTTACATTCACATCAGAATATTGATCTCTCATGAGAGTCCCTTCTCAGGGGTAAACCGGTTCTGACTATAGCTAGACCTTGAGGAAATTAGAGGGATTGCTGTTTTGAGGACTTCTAAAAAAGGGAGAGAGATAAAAGTGCTGTTATTGAAACAGTGATCTCTTGATCTCTCATTGTTTGTTGGTTGCTTTTTAATCTGTTGTAGTTTTATTTCTTTTTTCCTTGATGTGAAAACTTTCCATCCTAATTTGGTACTGCTCTTTGGAAGGAGACACTGTGAGATTCATTGGCACTGAAACAGAGCAGGCACACTTCCCTCCAGGAGGAGCTTTGGTACATTTGTCTGTTACCTCTGATCCCCAGGACTGTGTTCTGCTGCCCTTGAACTGCAGTCTGTAATTCAGGATGCCAATTTTGGTATTTGCACCCTTGCCGTCTGACAAGTCACCTGGTCCCATAGCATGACATTTCCCCCCCAACCCCATGTTCAGTCCTCAGTCTCTCAGCATATTACAATTTCAGTTTTTCAATTTATAGTTAACAGAGGGAAGAGGAGGCATTTTAGCTCCTCCTAAAGCTACTTGCATTCTTTTCTGGCCTTTCAGATAAACGTTGCTTTTCCCCAACAGCACATTGAAAATATGTTTTTAAATTTTCCCCTGCCACTGTAAATCAGATGCCCTTTTTTTGTTTCTTCCACAGATGGTTTTTCAAGTCTAAAGAATTTACTCTTTTCTTCCTTCTCATATAAGGGCAGTCTGCAAAGACCTCCATTTGCCTTATTTACTCCAGGAATCTGGTTTCATGACTGCTTCATTTTTGCCCATCTTATTATCCTTGTGCTTCTGTTGGTCATCATTAAAACTTTTCCATTTTTCCATTTTCAAAGGTGACATTTGCTTTCTTATTTTAAGATTGCTTGTCCAAATGAAAGCTGTTTATACAATCCACCAACATTAACTGTCATTTTACAAAACTCTGAAAAAAACAGTTACTTAAAAAAGAAACAGTCTTCTTCATGTTCCTTTGTGTCTGGTATGTCTGCATATATTGTAATCTTCCGGGCATCCACTGAATACCCCTGTGGGTTATCATAGTATCAAACATGATCTCTGTCACAAATACCATTTGACTGAACTTGCAACCAGCTAAATTCACAGTGATCTACTTTTATTTTGACAATAAACATGTATGTGGCCTTCACATAAAAGCTCTTTCAAGCAAAGAATCTTTATTATTGATGTGTTATTTCACAATTTTATCTTTTTTGCAGTAATTCAGATTCTGCCTGGTGTCTCTGTAGTTAGTAAGCTGCTTGTATTTGAGGGAAATGTGTTTGATCCATGAAGTTGTGATGAAGGCCAAGCTTAGGGAAGAAAGTTGCTAGACTCTAATAGCAGCATTTCTGATCAGGCCCTTGGAAGTTTAGGCAGGGAAAGCTGTTTTCTAGACAAGAGTGTACAGTGAAGTTTAATTAGTGTTTACGCAGTCTCCTTGGTACTTGGTGCATTGCTGCTGTCTTTAGCTTTGTGCCTTCTGAGGTGAGCCTGGGTT